CTCCTCCTCCCCCTCCCCCCTCCTCCCCCTCCGCGTCAGCCACACCCACTTCGGCACACCCCTCACACGTTTCGTTGCCCCGTAGGGAGCCCCACCGAAGGCACCAGTGCTGCCGCCCGCATGCGTCACCCACACCCAATTCGGCACACCCCTCACACGTTTCGTGGCCCCATAGGGAGCCCCACCGAAGGTCCCAGTGCTGCCGCCCGCATGCGTCACCCACACCCAATTCGGCACACCCCTCACACATTTCGTGGCCCCATAGGGAGCCCCACCGAAGGCCCCAGTGCTGCCGCCCGCATGCGTCACGCACACCCAATTCGGCACACCCCTCACACGTTTCGTGGCCCCATAGGGAGCTCCGCCGAAGGCCCCAGTGCTGCCGCCAGCATGCGTCCCGCACATTCAATTCGGCACACCCCTCACACGTTTCGTGGCCCCATAGGGAGCCCCCACCGAAGGCCCCAGTGCTGCCGCCCGCATGCGCCCCGCACACCCAATTCGGCACACCCCTCACACGTTTCGTGGCCCCAAAGGGAACCCCACCGAAGGCCCCAGTGCTGCCGCCCGCATGCGTCCCGCACACCCAATTCGGCACACCCCATCACACGTTTCGTGGCCCCATAAGGAGCCCCACCGAAGGCCCCAGTGCTGCCGCCCGCATGCGTCCCGCACACTCAATTCGGCACACCCCTCACACGCTTCGTGGCCCCATAGGGAGCTGTCCACCGAAGGCCCCAGTGCTGCCGCCCGCATGCGTCACGCACACCCAATCCGCACACACCCCACACGTTTCGTGGCCCCATAGGGAGCTCCACCGAAGGCCCCAGTGCTGCCGCCCGCATGCGTCACGCACACCCAATTCGGCACACCCCTCACACGTGTCGTGGTCCCATAGGCTGCTCTACCGAAGGCCCCAATGCTGCCGCCCGCATGCGTCACGCACACCCAATTCGGCACACCCCTCACACGTTTCGTGGCCCCATAGGGAGCTCCGCCGAAGGCCCCAATGCTGCCGCCCGCATGCGTCCCGCACACCAATTCGGCACACCCCTCACACGTTTCGTGGCCCCATAGGGAGCTCAGCCGAAGGCCCCAGTGCTGCCGCCCGCATGCGTCCCGCACACCCAATTCGGCACACCCCTCACACGCTTCGTGGCCCCATAGGGAGCCCCACCGAAGGCCCCAGTGCTGCCGCCCGCATGCGTCCCGCACACCCACTTCGGCACACCCCTCACACGTTTCGTGGCCCCATAGGGAGCCCCACCGAAGGCCCCAGTGCTGCCGCCCGCATGCGTCCCGCACACCCAATTCGGCACACCCCTCACACGTTTCGTGGCCCCATAGGAGCTCCGCCGAAGGCCCCAGTGCTGCCGCCCGCATGCGTCACCCACACCCAATTCGGCACACCCTTCACACGCTTCGTGGCCCCATGGGAGCTCCGCCGAAGGTTCCAGTGCTGCCGCCCGAATGCGTCACCCACACCCAATCGGCACACCCCTCACACGTTTTCGGGCACGGAGGGGCCTCCACGAAGGCCCAATGACTGCGCACCGCATTTTGGTTCCGCCACACCCAATTCGGCACACCCCTCACCCGTTTCGTGGCCCAATAGGGAGGCCACCGAAGGCCCCAGTGCTGCCGCCCGCATGCGTCCCGCACACCCACTTCGGCACACCCTCACACGTTTCGTGGCCCCACAGGGAGCTCCACCGAAGGTCCCAGTGCTGCCGCCCGCATGCGTCCCGCACACCCACTTCGGCACACCCCTCACGCGCTTTCGTGGCCCCATAGGGAGCTCCACCGAAGGCCCCAGTGGCGGCGCTCACATGCGCATGCGTCCCGCGCGCCCACTTCGGCACACCCCTCACACGTTTCGTGGCCCCACAGGGAGCTCCACTAAAGGCCCCAGTGGCGGCGCTCACATGCGTCACCCACACCTACCCAATTCTGCACACCCCTCACGCGCTTCGTGGCCTCATAGGGAGCTCCACCGAAGGCCCCAGTGGCCGCGCTCACATGCGTCCCCGCCACTCCATAGGGAGCTCCACCGAAGGCCTCAGTGGCACCGCCCGCATGCGTCACTCGCACCCAACTCGGCACACCCCTCACACGCTTCGTGGCCTCATAGGGAGCTCCACCGAAGGCCCCAGTGGCGGCGCTCACATGCGTCCCCGCCGCACATCCCAGTACACCCCTCACACGCTCCGTGGCCCCATAGGGAACCCCACCGAGGGCCCCAGCAGCGGCACTTACATGCGTTTCCGCCACCCATCCGGGCACCCCCCCGCATGTTTCGGGGCCCCATAGGGAGCTCCACTGGAGGCCCCAGTGGCGGCCCTTACATGCGTTTCCGCCACCCATGTCGGCACGCCCCGCACGTGTTTCATGTCCCCATAGGGAGCTTAACCGAATACCCCAGTGGCACCCATCTCGGCACACCCCTCACACGTTCCGTGGTCCTATGGGGAGTTCCACTGAAGATGAAACCCACGGCTGCGGTACTGACAACTGCATATGGTTGGGTTCTTCGCCAGGCTAATTTTTTCAATCGAGGTGCCCCTTCCCAGGGCTCGCACCGTGCTTTTTTATGACAGCAACTATTCCTCCTCAAACTGCGCCGCCTGTCCCCCGAGTTACAACAACAACGGCTCGCGCCTGTCACTTCCTTACAATCTATTCCCATTCCGCGCTCTCGCGCGGGACTTCTTCACAATTTATTCAGGAATCGCGCTCTCGCGTGGGATTTTCTCGCAATTTATTCAGACGCCGCGCCCCGACAGTCAGGAATAATGTCGCTGTGAATTTCCTCACGACTGATTTGGGAATCGAGCTGTCGCTCGAGATGTCCCCGCGATTCGTGCAGGACAAACGCTTCAGCGACCCGCCTGCTCGACCTGGCCGCCTGGGCCCTCCTTCCCGACCCGCCTGGTAGGGTCTACCCGCCCGATCTGCCAGTCTGGTTCTGCCACGTGTTTTCGGCTCCTAGCCCCCCCCCCCAGTCTCCCTCGTGCTCCATCCTCCTCCCTTCCCCTTTGTCCCTTCCTTCCATCCGTCCTCTCTTCCCCTGCCTTAAGGGCTGCACGAAATGAACGTTGCAAGTAAGAAATATATACCCCCAAGGGGGTACGGTCGAAGACGAAGAAACGGGTATCGAAGGTTCGGGAAATACGTGTTGAATGGCACGCAAACAGATAAGAGCGAACAGTAATAACATCAATGTTGTTGTTATTGTTGCTGTTGTTGTCTGCACTTTCACAACTGAAGAATAATTGTTGTTGATCCCCCTCCGGTAACATCTGTTTTTCAATTAAAGTGTCCCTCCCGGGGGTCGCACCATGTTTTTCAACATGGACAACCTTCCTGCTCAAACTGCGCCCCTGGCCCCCGGACTACAACAACAAAGGCTCCCGCCTGATACGGCCCTGCAATTTACTGAGGATTCGCGCTCTCGCGCGGGGCTTCCCCACAACTCGCCACTCAGGAATCGTGCTGTCGCTGTGGGATTCCTCATACTTTGTTTAGGAGTCGCGCTTTCGCCCGAGACCTCTTGTTGAATTATGCAGGAGTCACGCACTCGCGTAACATACGTCTTTTTTTGGTGTTGTTTCAAATGAAGTGACTATCCCGGGGCTCGCTGTACTTTGACATGGGAAAACCTTCCTGCTCAAAATGTGTCCCTGGCCCCCGGTTTACAGCAACAGCGGCTCCTGCCTGATACTTCCTTGCAATCCATTGAAGAATCGCGCTCTCGCTCGGGATTTTATTGCAATTTATTAAAGAATCGCGCTCTCGCCTGATACTTCCTCGCGAACTATTCAGGCGTCGCGATTTCGATACTCAGGAATCGCGCTGTCGCTTAGAACTTCCTTGTGATTGATTCAGGCGCCGCGCCCTCGACACTCAGGAATCACGCTCTCTGGGTGGATTGCCTCATGAGAATTAGTTTCCTCGCGATTCATGCAAGACGCACGCTTCAGCAATCCGCCTGTTCGACCTGGCCGCCTGGGCCCGCCTGTTAGGATCTACCCACCCGATCTGCCAGTCTGGTTATGCCACGTGTTTTTGGCTCCTAGCCCCCCTCCTGCTACTCTCTCTCGTGCTCCATCATCCTCCCTTCCCCTTTATCCCTTCCTTCCTTCCGTCCTCTCTTCCCCTGCCTTGGGTGCTGCACGACATACACGTTGCACGTAAGAAAAATGTACCCCCAAGGGGATACGATCGAAGATGAAAAGGCTGGGTATCGAGGGTTTGGGATATACGTGTTGAATGGCACGCGAGCAGGAAGGAGCGAACAATTTTACCATGAGTGTTGTTGTTGCTGTTGCTGGTGCTGCTGCGGTTGTTGTTGATGTTGTTGTTGTTGTTGTTGTTGTTGTTGTTGTTGTTGTTGTTATTCATATTGTCTCTGATACAAACCACAAGGTGCGAGCTCCGGGAGGGGCACCTCAGTTGAAACACATACAAAGGTCACAGGAGAGGAGATAAACAGTATCTATTCTGAAGGTGCGGGAATTCAGCAACAACAGAAACAATAAAAAGCAACAGCAACAGCACCAACAATAGCAGCATCACCATCAACACCAACAACACAACCAGCAACAGCAGCACCAACAAGACCAAAACCACCACTACTACCAACAACAACAGCGACGACGACGCAACAACAATCCGCACGGGGAACCCTCCTTCAGCCACGCACCCAGGGACAGTGCATGACCGCTCGGCCCCCTCACTCTGATCAGCCAGACTGGGCCAAGTATAACTCACCCTGGCATCCACGGATCGTCCCCCTGCCCCCTCAGCAAACCCCCTCGCCGATCCCAGTCGTTTCGGGGCCACACCTCGTGCGAGGCGCAGTTGCTGGAGAGCACCCCGAGGCTGGCAGACCGCCGAGACCCGGCGGAGAAGCCCGAAAACCTCGACCTTCGCACCTCGAAAAAACTCCCGAGAACGCCCGATCCCAGCAGCGGGGCCAGGCTCTCCCTCGAGGCCGCCGCCATGTTCACGAGGACCACCGCGTCGGCCGCGGCGGCCCCCTCCAGCGACCTCTCCAGCCAGGACTCGGCCAGGTCGGCGCGGCCACCCTTGCTCGCAGCCTCGATTTTGGACGCGGGCAGGGGGTCTGAGCTGATTGGGGCCCCAGAAAATCAGTCAGGAGGGGAGGTGGGGCCAAATCCGTTCAAAAATCGGTCCCTGGACCCCTCCTGGGGTCCACCTGGCACAATTTTTCACACTGGATGCGTTCTTGACCGTCTCAGGGCCTGGAAACGCCCCCTGGAGTTAGAAAAAACAGCAACTTCTTCGAACCCAGCACCTCGAACATTCCCCCTCCTCCTAATTGGCCAGAACCTGTGCTGGGCCACCTCAGAACCCCAGCCGGCTCCAATCGGCGGCGAGCTCAGGGGGGAATGGAGAAGGGGCCGGCCTTCTCAAAAGGCTCGGAAGGCCTCGGGCTTTCTGAGAAGTTCTCTGAGCCTTCCCCGAAGACGCAGAACACCTCTCAGAAGGCGCGCGGGCTTCTGAGAAGCCCCGCCGTCCTCCGAGAAGACCTCCTCCTTCTCACTTGCCCCCATCGCTCGCCGCCGACCCAAGCCTTAAGTCGGGCGTGTCCCTCTAAAGGGGGATTTCCGACGAAAAATTAGACATACTCCAAACATACCCCCTAAAATGGTAACAACAAATTCAACAAATCGTCCCCAGACTATTTTTTTCTGACTATTTTTGACTATTCCCCCTTGCAGAGGGACAGGCCCGACTTAACACTTGCCCCCATCGCTCGCCGCCGACCCGAGCCTCGATCATTTTGCCCAGCGTCTTGACGTTGACCCTCACGCCCTCCCTGCGCATGTGCGCGTACCACCGCCCGGCCGCCGGCACGTCCCCGCTGTTCGCGCACGCCTTCAGCATGGTGTTCAGCACGAGGGTCCGCTTGCCGACCGGCACCTCTCGGGCCACAACGGAAGGGTCGCGGGCGTCCCCCCTCTTTCGTATCCTCCTCCTCCTCCACCTCCTCCTCGTCCCTCCCCTTCCTGCTCTTCCTCCTTCTCCTCCTCCTCCTCGTCCAACTTCTTCTCGTCCCTCCCATTCCTGCTCCTCCGCCTCCTCCGCCTCTTCCTCCCCCTTCCCCTCCTCCTCCTCCTCCTCCTCCTCTTCCTCCTCTTCCTCCTCCTCCTCCTCCTCCTCCACCTCCTCCTCCACCTCCTCCTCCTCCGTCCACGCCAGCTTCTTCCACCAGGAGGGGGGGCCCATGGGTGGGGCCAGGGGCGTCCAAGAAGAAGGGGGTTCGCAAATCATGGCGCCCGAGGCCTGTGCGCGACCCAAGGAGGGCCAGGAGAGGTACAGTGGAGGCCCGACCACAAGAAACCTTCCACAAGAAACCCAGTCCTGAGACCCCAGGGCATCAATTGATCTTTGGTGTGGGAGCGTCGCGCTTTCCATAGCAAAACCAGCGAAACGCAAGAAACCCAGGGCACCCTGGAGGCAAGCAGAACGGCTCTTGGCATGGACCCCCACTGCATTGAAGAACCTGACCCTAATGCTCATCGTCGTCTGGGTGTCGGGTCCTAAGCTCCGGTCTCTCTCAGGCCGCCGTTCGGGGGGCGATTCGGGCACCCCGTGGCGCTGTCGGCGAGCGGCTTCTGGGAGGCATCCCGAGACTGGGAAACCGCCGAAAACCGATGAAAACGCACGAGAACCTCGAATGCCCAGAGGCTGGATCCTTTCCGCGGGACTGGCTTTTCATCCTGGATCGTTCTTTGACGGTCCCAGAGCCTCAGTGAGGGGCCTCGGAAGCCGAAAACTAGCAAACCCTGACCGTCGAGCCCACTTGGGCCGTCTTGGGGGCTTGTGGGCCGTCCTGAAGCCATATTCCCTCAGATCCGACGTAACGAAAAGATGCAACACCGTCACAAATCACAACCAAGGCGCCGGACCCCATCTTTCAGCGCCGTTCGTCGAGCTGGATCGATCTGTGAGCATCCCAGGGCTCGAAACTGGGCGAACACGCCCCGCTCGAAAAAATTGCGACGCCACTGAGATTGGCGCGGAGGTTGCTAAAGGGATAACTGGTTATCAGAGAATGCCCAGTTGGGTTTTATAGGACCAAGCCTAGCCTACAAGTTGGTTACAAATGGCCCAAGTGGCTTATGGGGGGTTGAGTAACGCCGCTAAGCGGGCGGAGCCCACGTGGCCCAGATCCTTCCCCCCCTAAGCCACTTGGGGCACTTGTAACCCACTTGTAAGCCAGGTCGATCATCTTGGTGTCCACTGATCGCCCCCCTATCCCCTTAGCACCCCCCGCGCCGATCCTGATGGCGTCGCAGGTTGGGCAATCTTTGTCGCGACGCGAGTAGGGGGTTGCTAAAGGTGCCCCTGGCCCAAGATGCGCGTATTTTTTCGCACAATTCTGAAGCCCCTGGGACCCCCTGGGCCTTGGGAATGGTGCTCTGGAGGCCGGGGGGGCCCCCTTGGAAATCCTGGGGGCTCCTTGGGCCAGGGGCAGCTCTGGTATCGACTGCATGTAGGAGTTTCTGTCCGCCAGAGTGACCTTTGGTGATGGCCCCAAGGGGGTCGGGCCGTTTTCCTTGTGTAATGAGCTTGACCTCGCGTCGGCACCCGTATTGCGCGGTTGCATTCGCGTCTGAGCGCGCTGGGTGTGGGCCCCCATCCCACTCCCTCAACTGCAATTGATGATAACGCATACGCGGCGCTCCCTACAATGCACATTGGTTTCCCGAGGGGGGGCTGGTCGACCGGACGGCGTGTTCTCAGCCTTAGTACCAGTCCCGAATCCCAGCCTCAATCTCAAATTGTCCGTAGTGAATATCTTTGGATATCTTTGAATATGCTCGAATATCTTTTGAACATGTTGTAATACCTCTGAATATCTTTTTGAGCCAATAACGATCGTTACTATTGCAAATTATCCCACATGTTCAAAAACATTCCGGGCCGCGGATGGGGCCGGTTTGGCCATGATGCTGGACCTGGTCAGACGTTATCGCGATGCGGCCAGGCAGTGGCAGACCTCATCGTGGTGGCCCCCGTCAGCGTCTGCTTTCAAAACGCCGTCGAAGTGCCATCCGGGGCGTTCGAATCCAATTGGCGGAATTTCGAGGTTGCACGCTGGCGCAAACAGATCACTCGAGTGGCGTCCCGCCGACCGTTGATGCGGCGCGGCAGTACGGACTTGCTCGGTTGCGTTGGGCCCCCACGGGCGCCCCTGAAGCCGCGGACCACAGGTCACTCTAGCCTAGGGTCACTCGAGGGAGGAGGGAGGGTGAGTAAGGAGGAGGGGGAGGGGGAGGAGGAGGAGGAGGGGGAGGAGGAGGAGGAGGAGGAGGAGGAGGAGGAGGGAGGAGGAGAAGGAGAGGAGGAGGAGGAGGAGGAAGGAGGAGGAGGAGGAGGAGGAGGAGGAGGAGGAGCGCGGAAGGGAGGAGGGGGAGGAAGGAGGAGGAGGAGGAGGGAGGAGGAGGAGGAGGTCACTCTGGCCCAGGGCCACTCCTACGTGCAGTCGACGGCACCGCCCGAGCGACGACGTCAGGGCGCGGCCGCCCGGCCCGGGCCTCGGCCTCCATGCCGCGCAGCGCCTCCTCCGCGCCCCGCACGTCGCCCTCCTCCGCCCGCTCGTTCAGCAGCCCGAGGCGCGCCCTCCAGCCAGGATTGGGTCGGGCACGTCCCCCTACAGGCGGGTTTTGGGCGAAAGTTAAACGTACCCCAGGCATGCACCAACATAGTCAAACGGATACCCGAGAAGTCGTCCCCAGACTATATCTTTGGACTATTTTTGGATAGTCCTCCTGAAGAAGGACGCGCCCGACTTACAGCCAGGATCAAGTGCCCAGACATGCTCGCGTCGGGAAAATCAGGATGGGAGGCTTTTCATGGCTTGCGTTAGAGAGCCCCGGGTTCGCTAGGGACTGGTTTCCCTCCAAAACGACGAGCGCCCTTCCAAAGCCCTTTCGAAACCCTCCGGAAAGCCTCGCGTAACCCTTCCTGGGGGGTTTTCGTAAGGTTTCGGGAGGTTTAGGCGGTTTTGAAAGGAAACCAGTCCCTAGCGAACCCTGGATTTTCTCTAAGGCTTGCGGCCCCTGGGGGCCCTGGCCGGGCCCCGGGGCCGTCCAGAAACGACCCAGGACGCCGAGCTGGCCCCGGGAGAAGGCTCTGGACTTTTTGGGGGAATCGCGTGTTGACAGCAGCAGGTTCGGCACCGCCTGATCCCGAGGCTTTCCTCCTCCTGGCCTTGCCGCGAGGCCCCTCCTTCTGTCCCCCCCTCTTTGTTGATTCAAGCTTCGCGCGGCCCGCTTAGCTCCGACCGGAGGAGGTGCGCTCTCGACCCGCGAATCAAAAAAAGGGTTGACAGCAGCAGGACGCCGCCTGTCTGAGGTCAGCATCGAGGTCGAACGCCGACTCGAACCGCGACGTGCGTCGGATCGGGCCTCGCCATCGCTCGGACGCCCGCTCCCCGTGCATGCTTCAGTGTGTCGTGCGTGTGATGAGCTTGTCACAAAATGATCCAGGACCTCCTGCCTGCTCCTCCTCTCCTTCCTCCTCCTCCTCCTCCTCCTCCCCCTCCTCCTCCTCCTCCTCTTCCTCCTCCATCTGCTCTTTCTCCTCTTTCTCCTCCTCCTCTTTCTCTTCCTCCTCCTCCTCATCCTCCTCCTCCTCCTCCTCATCATCCCGAGGGATGATCGTACCAGCGAGCCTATCCGCATATGCCCACCCCTTGGGGGACCGCGCCCGCGCCATGAGTCGGGGTGCCCCCCCAGAGGCGCGCGCGCCTTCAGGGCAGCGCCCAGGGAGGTGAGCGGTGGAGCTATGCGGGCCTTGCCAGGCCTGCGCCATCGAGCGCACTTCTCGATGGCCCTCGCCGAGGACACAACGCACACGCCCGATGGATGCCCAGTTGCTGCATCGGCACGGCGCCGACATCGGACCGCACCGGCCGCGCCAGGGCCCAGCGGCGCCGCGCCAGCGACGGGCCGCATCGGGTCGGCGCGCGGGAAGTCGAGGTCGAATCGGATCGGGCCAGCACCGAATCGAGATCGAGATCGAGATCGAGATCGAGATCGACGTCGAGATCGAGGTCGAGGTCGAGATCGAGATCGACGTCGAGATCGACATCGAAATCAACAATCGGAATCGAGAACCGAGATCGAAATCGGCATCGAAATCGACATCGAAATCGACATCGAATCGAGATCGAGATCGACATCGAGATCGACGTCGAAGAATCGACGTCGATCCGAGCGAGAGGGGCCCCGCCTCCAGCCCGCGGCGCCGCGGGCCGCCTGCCAGACGGCGGGGGCGGCGGGCGCGCCCGCGAAGCCCCTGCTGGCCATCGGCAGACCCGGACCCAGCTCTCTGACGACTTTTTGTTGTTGTTGTTGCTGCTGCTGTTGTTGCTGCTGCTGCTGTTGTTGCTGTTGTTGTTGTGGTTGTTGTTGTTGCTGTTGTTGTCTTGTCGTTGTTGTTGTTGCTGCTGCTGATGTTGTTGTTGTTGTTGTTGTTGTTGTTGTTGTTGTTGTTGGTTGTTGTTGGTTGTTGCTTGTTGTTGTGGTTGTTGTTATCGTGGTTGTGGTTGTTGCTGTTGTTGCTGTTGTTGTGGTTATTGTTGTTGCTGCTGTTGTTGTTGGTGTTGTTGTTGTTGTTGTTGTTGCTGTCGCTGTTGCTATTGTTGTGGTTGTTGTTATTGTTGTTGTTGTTTGTTGTTGCTTGTTGTTGTTGCTGTTGCTGTTGCTGTTGTTATTGTTGCTGTCGTTGGTTGATGTTGTTGATGTTGATGATGTTGTTGTTGTTGTTGTTGTTGTTGTTGTTGTTGTTGTTGTTGTTGTTGTTGTTGTTGTCGCTGTTGTGGTGGTTGTTGTTGTTGTTGTTGTTGTGGTTGTTGTTTTGAATGTGTTTTGTTTTTGTTGTTGTTGCTGCTTGTCTTTTTGTTGTTGTTTTTACTGCTGTTTTTGCCTGCTTTTGTTGCCTGTGTTCAGTCCGGGCGTTTTCCCTCGCCTCCGGCCCCCTGGGGCACGCGCTCGGGCCCCGGAGCCATCAGCAGCTGCTCCAGGCCGAGAAGAACCACCCCCCGCTCCCTTCGGGGAGGGGGGCGGGGCCTCGGGGGCCGCGGCGTGCAGAGAGCATGCCGGCGGCTGTCGATGCCCGGTGGGGGGGGCGCCGCCGTCCGACGACGTGCCCTCTCGAGCCGCGCAGCCCCAGACGTCCCCGACCGCCCCCGGGCCACCCTCCCGCCCCAGGCCCGTCTCCGCCGGCCGTGGGGCCTGATGACGGGCACCAGGGGCCAAGAGATCGGGGGAAAAGCGCCTGGATGGCACAAAGCAGGCCTCGGCGGCTCACAGGACGGGGTCCCGAGGGGCGGGGCCCTGAGGACGAGGTGCTTCCAGCAAGGCAGCTCCGCCCTCGGATCCCTCCCCACCCTTTCGGACGCCATCTCTCGGGACCCCATCTTCCCTGAGATCCGACGACGTGACAAAAACTGCAACGCCGTGAAACAATGCGACCAGAACCCCGGACTCAATCTTTCTGCGTCATTTTTCAAGCCGGATAGCTCTGCGAGGGTCCCGGGGTCCGAACTCGAGCGACAACGCCGGGCTGGAAAAATTTGAGACGCCAGGATCTCAGGGCTTGAGCCACCGAGTTCGAGGGGATCGACTAACTACAAACTTGATTTGCACCAGATTTGATTTCCTCGTCGAGTGTACCAACAAATACGTACCATGTTCGTCGATCTACGAGCACTATCCGCATTTTTCGTAGCTTCGACGAGGAAGTCAATTTTGGGGCACATCGATGCTGTACAGTCGGATCTAGGACAGAATAACATCCTTCAAGAACATGAGACCCCCGCCAACTAAACCGAGGAGCATCCGAGGGTGCCCTCCCCCAGGACGCGCAAGAACACCCAGCAAACACAAAGAACATCAGGGCACCCTCCCCGAACCGACCTCGAATATATATATATATATATATATATATATATATATACATTGTGGTGGAAAACAGGGGTCGTTATTTCAAAGCCAGACGATAAGACGATAAGACGATAAGACGATATAAGATGATAAGACGATAAGACTATATAGGGCATCGCTAGACGATAAGACGATAAGACGATATAGGGGCATGCATATAGCGTCTTACCGTCTTATCGTCTTATCGCCGTATCGTCGGGAGCTGATCTGAAGTTGGCGCTGGGGCAGTTGGCAGCATTGGAGAAATGCCTGTTGAAACCTCGCAGGGCTCCGCAGTGGAGGACGTATTGTAGAAACCTCGGAGGGCTCAGCATTGAAGGACGCCCGGTGGAAACCTCAGAGCGCTCAACATTGGGGGATGCCTCGGGGGGCAGAGCATTGTACATGTACATGCAAGTATCTCCAAGAGTCCAAGAGATTGCACCACTTAGCTTGCACCACATAGGTTACAACACATCGACGGCCCCACATATATTGAGCCACATAGATTGCACCACATGGACTGCATCACACAGAATGCACCACATAGATGGTACCACGTGCACTGGCCCACGTAGATTGCTTGCACCACGCTGGCTAACTTTTTCTGGCTGTCCTGGCACTCAGGGCAGCGCCAGAAAATGTCCCCGGTTGAAACCTCGCAGGGTTCCTTGTTGAAATCTGGCTGTCCTGGCACTCAGGGCAGCGCCAGAAAATGTCCCCGGTTGAAACCTCGCACGGTTCCTTGTTGAAATCTGGCTGTCCTGGCACTCAGGCCACTTTCGCCCGAGACATCCTCGCAAGTCTGACCTCGAAGGTTCCCTGCCCCATGGTGTTCAGGCCACTTTCGCCCGAGACGTCCTCGCAATCTTGGTTTCCAAGATGCCCTGAGCTAAGGTGGTCAGGCCACTTCCGCTTGAGACCCGCGCACCATGTATGTACACAGGCGTACCATCAACGATGTACGGCATATGTTTCAATGCTTCCTCAATCATTGAAACGCAGGTCCAAATCGCAATTTCCATCATCAAGTTTTTCACCAGCACCCTCACCATCACCACTGTCATAACACCCATGTGCACCATGATCTTCGTCCATCACCATCCTCGCCATCATCACAAGCATCACCATCAATCATCGCCGCCATCACCATCATCACAACCATCACCATTTATGATTTTCATTGCCATGAGCGTCACTATCACCATCAGCGGTACCATCACCATCATCAGCGTCCTCGTGGTCGTCGTTGTCACCATCATCAGACGATGAGACGATAAGACAATCAGCTGGTTTTATCGTCTTATCGTCTTATCGTCTGGAATGGCCCTATATCGTCTTATCGTCTTATCGTCTTATCGTATGCTGCCCCTTTATCGTCTTATCGTCTTATCGGCATATCGTATTATGTCGTCTTATCGTCTTATCGTCTTATCGTCTGCGTGAGATTTAGACCGCTGATCCCCACCACACTGTATATATATACCTCGGCCCGACTGTAGTCGATCCCCTGCTCCACGAACGTCGTCGGAGACCCGGGAAACGCCCGCGGCGCCCGCCGAGCGCCCCCGCGCCTCACAAGGGGCCCGCAAGCCTCGGAGCTGAGGCGGCCGCGCATCGGCCGCTGGGGGGCGCTGGCGGGGCCCGCCCGCCGACGGCGCCGACGGCGCCGCGGCCCGCACGGGGACGGCTGGGCGCCCAGCCCGTCGGCGGAGCGCCCTCGTCCCAAGCGAAACGCCTGGCCAGCCCCTTCGACCGGCCTGACGGGGTGCGACAAGGAGGGATTATTTGTCAGGGAATAGAGCACAGGAGGAGGAGGGGGAGGTGGACGAGGGGGTGGGGGAGGAGGAGGAGGAGGAGGAGGAGGAGGAGGAGGGGTAGGAGGAAGGAGGAGGAGGAGGAGGAGGAGGGAGGAGGAGGGGAGGAGCGGAGGAGGAGGAGGGGAGGAGGAGGAGGAGGAGAGGAGGAAGGAGGAGGAGGAGGAGGAGGAGGAGGAGGAGGAGGAGGAGGAGGAGGAGAGGAGGAGGGGGGAGGGGGTCGAGCAGGAAGAGAAGGTGGGGGAGGAGGAGGAGGAGGAGGAGGAGGAGGAGGAGGAGGAGGAGGAGGAGGAGGAGGAAGATGAGGAGCAGGAGCAAGAGGAATTCACAGGATGATGATGGTGGTGCTGATGATGCTGATGATGATGACGATGATGCTGCTGCTGATGATGATGATGCTGATGCTGCTGATGCTGATGCTGAAGCTGGTGCTGATGCTGATAATGCTGATGTTGATGATGATGATGATGATGATGATGATGCTGATGCTGATGCTGATGATGATGCTGATGATGATGATGATGCTGATGATGATGATGCTGCTGCTGCTGCTGCTGATGATGATGATGATGATGATGATGATGATGATGATGACGATGATGATGATGACGAGGGGGAGGATGGAGGAGGAGGAGGAGGAGGAGGAGGAGGCGGTGGAGGAGGAGGGGAGGAGGAGGAGGAGGAGGAGGAGGAGGAGGAGGAGGAGGAGGAGTGAGGAGGAGGAGGGGGAGGGGGAGGAGGAGGAAGAGGAGGAGGAGGAGTGAGGAGGAGGAGGAGGAGGAGGCGGAGGGGAGGAGGAGGAGTGGACTACTCGTTGGGCCGAGCGTAGAGAAGGTTGGCAGGCAGAGGAGGTGAGGAGGATGAGGCGGAGGTTGGAGGAGGAGGAGGAGGAGGAGGATGTGGGAGGAGGAGGCGGAGGTGGAAGATGAGGGAGGCGGAGGGAGGAGGAGGAGCAGGAGAAATCACAGCAAGATGGTCTGGTGCTGATGATGCTTGATGATGCTGCTGCTGATGATACGATGGTGCTGCTGCTGATGATGATGCTGCTGATGATGATGACCGGCTGATGATGTTGACTGAGGGGGAGGAGGGAAAGGAGGAGGAAGGAGGAGAGGAGGAGGAGGAGGAGGAGGAGGAGGAGGGGTGGAGGAGGAGGAGGAGGAGGAGGAGGGGAGGCGGAGGGAGGAGGAGGAGGAAGAGAGG